CTGGACTGAGGGAGCGATCCAGGACTTGGGCCCGGGGCAGGGACAGAAGCAGCTGGGCACTCAGTGCCCATGGCCCGGCGCTGCATCTTGATGACCAGGTGGAGAGTGAGGCCGTCTCGAACTCCACACTGTGCTAGTGAGTCAGGGTCCTTGAGGATTTTGCCAGCAAAGATTAGAACCAGCTGATCAGGGTGGGCCTTAAAGCGCTGGGATATCTCTTTCTTCAGTTGCTGGATGGTGCAGGTATCCGTAACTGAGAAATCTTCCTTGTCCTTGGGCGTCTTCACTGTCACCTTGATGAGGTGGGGATCCTGGACTGGTGCTGGGGTGCCCTGAGGCAGAGCCTCTCCGCTTTTGGCCATGGTGGCAGCAGAAGGCCCAGGTCTGTGGGGACACAGCTGGGGGGATGAGAATGGAATCTCAGTTCATTCTTTCAGGCAATGGCAAAGGTGGGAAAGGTGAACGTGAAGAGGGTCTTGGGACTCAGGGTGGGGAAAACTACATGGGCAACAAGGAAGGGATCTTGAGATTCCTGGAACACGATGCCTCTGGGGGATTATGCAATTGATAGATGTTAGGGTCAGGAGAAGAAAAGCTAGGGCCCTGAGAAAGAGGTCTGGTAGTTAACAGGTATGGAGACAAAGGTGGGAGGAAGAGCCCAGTGTGGGGGCTACGTACCACTCAGCTGTGGCCCCGTCCTTCCTCTTATACAGGGCTCCAAACCGCCCTCATCTTGTTGCACAGCCACCCTTGAGGCCTTCTGGACCGGAACCCACTCTCTCAGGTCGCTTCTGTGACCTCAGTGCTGACATCACAGCCTTACACAATGGATTCTGGAGACTTCCTCAAGGTGCTCTGAATCCTGGGAACTCCTGCTCCCCTGCCCTTTACAGTTTCTATTCCTTTATCACAATTCCTTTCTTCACAGTGAGAGTCCCAGGCTCAGGCCAAGCACCCTGCTGCCACAACACCTCATATGTGGCTTACAGAGACCCATATAAGGACAGGATCCTTATAGAGAGTGTTTCAGCCTATCTCAGAGGGTGCCAGGAAAGAAGATCCTGGACTGATCCTGGACTGATTTTGGACTGATCCAGTCCAGGATCTTCTTTCCTGGCATCCTCTATCCCTGTTTTCTGTCTGATTCAACATTAACCATGAATTCTTTATGTATTTCCAAAGTATTAATTTGCTGATAGATGGGATTTGGGATATAAGGGAGAGGTGAATGAAAACTTTTTTGTTTTAAATTATTATATCCCCCAGAGGAACTCAAAGCACGTTATACACTGAGATAAGGTAAGAAGGCCAGGAAATGAACAAGTTGCTAAGCATAAAATTAGCAGGTTGTTAAAGAGGTTCACATATATTTGAGATGTCTATTTTATATCGAAACGGTTATAAATCCAGGGCTCATCAGCATTTAAAGAATGCTTAAAATAAGGGCAGTAAGGTGCTGGCCCCATATGCCAGAGGTGGTGGGTTCAAACCCAGCCCCAGCCAAAAAATGCAAAAAAAAAAAAAAAGAGAATGCTTAAAATCATTGACTGGTTGAGATTAGCTAGTCAGTGGGTATAAGAAAAAAGAAAGATAAAAAAATCTGAGTCTAGTGTCTGTACAACATTTACAAGTCTAAAAGATCAGAAGAATTTGGCAGAGGAAGCAAAAGAAATAAAAATAGTAAGGTAGAGAGAGGGCACAACAGAAGAAAAGTTTCAAAAAGAAGAGAGTAACCAACTATGTTAAACGACACAGGATGAGGACTGAGAATTTGGCCACTGGATTTGACCAAAGAACAAACTGGACCCATCATGAGACCAGCACTGGTAGAGTGTTAGAAGCAAAAAACCTGATGGGAGGGTGTTTAAAAGCAAATGGTTTAGAAAGAGGACCCAGTATGAGAGAAAGGGGATGAGGGCTATGTGGGAATGTGAGGGTAAAGGCTTATGAAAAGGGGAAAACAATTTTAAGAGTAAGTTGTTGACTAGATAGTTTAGAGAGATTGGGAGTGAATGCCCATGTGGAGAGCTTGGTTTAGAAACATTATGACAACGTGGAGGGCAGAGTGTAGGGGTAAAGCCCTTCTGATCACTGCTGTCTTCTTGTTAAAACGGAACTTCAGCTGAGATTCAAAATAGAAAAGGAAAGATTTAAGAAGAGCAGCAAGAAAGGTATGAAATGAGGATAAAGCAGTAAATTGACTTGGACAGTAGATTTCCAGGTGTGGTTCCCCAGCATCTCCTGAAAACTTGTTAGAAATGAGAAATTTGGGCCCCAATCTAGACCTACTGAGTCAGAAACCCGTAGATTATAGCTCAGAAATCTGCATTTTAGCACATTCTTCTCGTGATTCTGATGCAGATTCTGGTGAGAGCATCAGTCTGAGAAAATGCAGTTAGGGTTACTAAGGGGACAATTAAGACTTTTGTAATAAATTTAAACAAAACTAGTCAGCACAGTTGTATGCTTTTCTCTGCCTACAGTGAAATTAGGCAAGGAGTTGGGTGTAACCACAGTGAGTTGAGTAGGTGATTTTATGTCAGAATTACTTATGGATCATGAAGTAGTCTTGAAGCTAGAGAACTAGGATCAAAAGGTGTAAGAATGACACTTATCCGCTTCTAAGTTCATGGGATATGAAAAAGTAGCCACTACTGCAAGAAAAGCAGTGTCCTCAGTGGACAGCCAGATTTCCCTTATAGCAAAAAGGTAAGGGAAGCCTTAGAAAGCAGTCCGTAGGTGTACGAGTTTTGCTATTGCTAAATTCTGACTTATAAATGGTAGGATGGAAAGGTTAGGGGAACTGGTGTTGAGTGGAAAAATGAGTCAAGTGAAGAATTTTCAGCAAGTACTGGGATAAAAATCAGAAAGATGACCTAAAGATCTTGGGCTTTTAGGTAAACTGTGGCAAAAAGGGTATAAAGCATAATCAAATTAAATGTGAAAAATCCGTATTGGTCATAATTTCTTTCTTAAGACTTGTCTTTTTGGTAGGTTGTAGCAGCGAAGTGGGTGTGTTTAGCAGCTGGGTTGCTAGAAGTACTTGAAGCTTTGTGGGCTTGTCCTTCATTCCTATGATGGTGACGTCAAGGCTGGGAAGAGGTGGTCTGCTGAGTACACAAATCTCTGTAGATCCTCTTTAGAGTTCAGAATCTGACAACTTCTCATCTCCTCTAGGGCTCCCACCCAGTCCCAGACACTACAATCTCTCACTTGCTTTAGTGCAAAAGTCACCTACTTGATTTTCCTATTCCCCATTCTATTGCATTCACAAAAAGAATCTGAAGTCCTCACCTGACCTACAAACTCTTCAAGATCTCTCCTATTTCCTCCCCACTGCCCTGGCTCTTTTTGTTTACTGCAGCTGTGTTATCTCCTTGCCATTCTTCAAACACAAGAATATCCTTATCATGGGGCTTGTACTCTCATAGAGCCTTCTCTGACTAGATCATCCTTCTGTCAGGGAATTGCATGTTCATTTCTCCAAATTCCTTCGGATTTCTGCTCAAATGTCATCTTTCCAGAAAGGCCCTCCCTGATGGCTTTTTTTTCTTTTTATTGTTGGGGAATCATTTAGGGTACAATGAGCCACATTATACAGCTTGTGTTTGCTGGGTGAAGTCCCTCTATTAATAGTGTCCCACCTCCAAGAGGTGTGTCACACACCGTAACCTCTCACCCCCTCCCTCCTTCCCTCGCCCCTCACCCATGTACTAACATCAATTGTCCTCATATCAGAATTGAGTACATTAGATTCTTGCTTTTCCATTCTTATGATGCTTTATTTTTATACTATCATTATTCTTATTCTTATTATTAGCACTTACAGTAACTAATACTTAACATATTTACAAGTTAATTTGAATATTATCTTGTATCGCTATTCAAGAAAGAAAAGTAAACTTTGTAAATAAAGGATCTTTGTTTTTTTTCTTTTTTTTCACTGCTACATCTTCAATATTGATTGATTAGACTATGGCTAGAATTTACTAAATTATTTAGTAATTGAATGACCGAACTACAATTGCATATCCTGCCAGGCTAAAATACTCTAGGTGAGGCAGGAAAAGGAGATGACGAGGCCTTGGCTTCTGTGGAAAACAGAAGCTACCCACATGAGACATGCTGAAGGATGTGATACTCTTTCAAAGTGCTGTGTCCATAGAGGGCTGGGTTTGTGGTGACAGGAATATGCAGTGAGATTAGCCACGGCTGTGTCTCTGTGTGCTATTAAGACAGTAGTGATAGCCCATCTAAGTCCTATAATTGTGGCAATGGCAGTAAGTGTGACGTTCTGATGATAATAAGGAACTCATCAACACCTGGGTGATATGTGGATTCTTCCTACTCTGTCCCACCAGGTTATTCCTTTTCCACTTTCAGAACTGAAAAATTTGGGTTTAAGAAATCAAGGCAATCTTTATGACTAAATATCTGGGTCTACATATGTCATAAGTTTCCCTTTCTGTATGAGTATGTTATTATTGTCTTTTACTACCTATGGGTCTGTTTATGTGCCTCTAGGTGTTTTGTGTATATGTATCCACACAGCTGTGTGTACCCGTGCACTGACTCAATGAGCCTACCTATGGGAATCTTTCCCTGTGTGAGCTTGTGTACCTTTGCACACCTGTCTGAGGCATAGTATGCGTGTTCTTGGTTATCTGAGCATGGTACATGAAACTGACTCTTTTTCTCTGTATATTAATGGGGGTGAAGTATGTATGATTTGTGTGTTCACATATGTACAGTTGGTTAGAAAGGGATAGTTACACAGTTAGTTGCTCTCTTGCAAAAGAAACAAAGTAAAACCTCAGATGGGGTAAGTGGGTGTAGCCATTTTATTGACAGATCTTCCAGCCATGGCCAATGATCCATTACTCAGTATAGAAAGCATTGGTTGGTAACTCCTATTCCAGGACTCCTCCTGTCTGGAGGCATCAGGAGAGGTGGAAAAAGCAGATGAGGTGGTCAAGTGGGTCAGCAGGTAGGCATGGTGGTTAGAATCCCTGGGATCTCTTGAGCTTGCGGATAGCTGCACTGGTGTCCCCCTCTGTAGCAATAAGTGCCTGTAGATTGGCATGGTGGTTCTGGAATCCCATGGCCTGAAGAGATTCCATCTGCTTGCTAAAACGAATCTCAGGGTCTTGTAGAGTGTGGGAGGTGTTCCCGCTTACACACTGTAGCCTCTGTAGGACTGCTCCAGATTTGTGGCAGCACTCAGGACCTTTGGATTCAGTTACTTCTGGAGAATTCCAGGGCCACTGTGCTGGGTCAGGGTAGCTGCAGCTCGGAGCAGGAAGCCAACCTAGGCCCCACAGGTAAGGTGCAACCCAGGACAGAAGAACAGGAGCCTCTGTGGCCAACAGCTGGAGACCCTGCTCTATCTGCAATATTGCTTGTGATGCTTTAGGGTTTTCTAGGGCTACAAGCAAGTCAGAAAGCTGTACCTGCTGCAGGGATGTGGGCAGCTCCTGCCACCACTGTTCACTCACCTGGGGCATACTCATGAACAACATCATCTGAGCTGCCAGGTAGGGGTTGTTCATAAGCAACTGCATCATGCCTCCTGTGATCTGGGAGCTGGTCTGCTCATCCGACAGCTGATCATCCTCTGATCTTTGTTCGGAGCTACTTAAAGAGATAGTGGCACCCTTGTCTTCATCCTGGGGCTTCTGAAGAAGCTCTATGCTAGGTAAGGCTGGTATCCCCACTGGCTGATGAAGGGAATGGATATTGTTCTGTTCCTTGGTGGAAATCGTCGCAGTATTGCCCCTGAAAACATGATTGATCCCATTGGAGGTGCCATTGACTGAAGGGATTGACGAGAAATCACGAGAATTAGCATGGATGACTCGGGTTGTAGGGAGCTGTGGGAGCTGGTCCCGCCGTTCCTGGGATGGCGATGGAGTTGGGGATGAGGCCTTGAATTCTTCCAGCACTTTCCCTACTAGGAGAGCTATGAAAGGGTTGCCCTCAAAAGGATCTTGCATGCTGTTGAGCATTTGCTCATTGAAACCAGCAGAGCTCTGACCCAGGGTACTGTTCCTACCTGGCATTGTCTCTAAGCCCAGGTATGGCTGTGGATTCAGTGGATGCTCAAGGTTCTGTGGAGGCTGTTGGGTCTGCATTATCTCTTGGATCATGGCAAGGCTCCTGGCCAGCTCTAGGGTCTGCCATAGAATCTCAGAATTGTCAAGGAGGTGGGACATCTCTGGGTTCTGCCGTCTCAATTGTTGAATGTCTAGGTGTTCTGAGATGAACTGCCGCATGAACTCTGTGTTGGACAGAAACCGCTGGATGCTAGGATCCTCCAAAATTTGTGCTATGTGCTCTGGACTGCCCACTTCTTGGTTCTGGGTATGTACCTTGGGCATATGAGACCTCACAAAGTGAGCTGATTCCACTGGGGCTTGATTCACACCTTCAGGTTTGTGTACCCCACTGCTGTTTCCTTTGATGTTTCCGTCCCGGTGGCAGGGCTCATTGGTTGGCAGGCTCCAGGAGGAACGGGCTAGGGATCTGGGGCCATTCTTGGACTTGATGACCAGGTGAATGGTGTGGCCATCCGTGATGCCCCTCTGGCTCAGCGTGTCCTGGTCTCTGAGAAGGCGGCCCATGAAGACCAGTACTAGTTGGTCCGTTTGGCATTGGAAGTGAGCCGATAGCTTCTCCTTGAACTGCCTCACTGAGGTGTCATCAGCTATCATAAAGTCCTTCTGTCTGCCTGGTGTCTTCACTGTCACTCGAGTGACAGTCAAAGAGGTAATCCTGTCTTCAGGCAGACCTGAAGGATGCCTACTCTGGGGCATCCTGGGCATCCGAGAGACTGCGTGTGGCATGGACCTTAGTAGGTGGGCAGTCGGGAAGCAGGTAGAAGTAGGGGCAGAGGGGTGAGGGCAGACAATGTTTCTGCTGGCCTTAATCTTGGATGTTATATTCTCAGGCTACAAGCTAGTTTCCTTGTTGCCCAAAAATGGATGAAAGACCAGGCGAGGGCTAGGTATTTTGCGATGTTGTGCCCTCACCCCAGCTCTCCAGATGTGGCCCTGCTGAAGCCTCTTGTGGCTACTGATTCATACTTGGCCCACAGTGGACTAAGTAGTGATGACTCCTCCCAGAGTTGCCCCTCCTCTTGCCCCACCCACCAAGGGCATGACCTCTTCAGAAAAGAGATATTGTGATGTCAACCCCAATCTCACAGTCTGCCTAGGCTAGCTGAGGACATATTTGGGAGAGTCTAAGTTTCTATAATAAAATAAAATAAGACAATTTTCCATAAAATTGGGGGGAAAATCTTTCAAGATGGAACTAGTAAAAAATAAATAAATAAAAACCAGAATTTTAAAATGTGGTTTAAGTGTGTGGGATTTCTGTGTGGTACTTTGTATAGGCCCTTTACAGGGATGTCAGACATGTATGAAAAGTTGGTTTTACTGAAACTATATATAAAGCCATATTCTTGTAAGAATATGGTCTCTCCCATAGGGAGGAGCTCTTTAATATTGTTAGTGACCTGAAAAGGGTGGGTTTAGGAAGATGGAGCAAGAATAAAGGCGTTATGTAAAAGAAGATGTCATGCTTTCTCTATAGTCTAGATTTTGGGATTCTAGAATTAAGTGTGCTCCATTGTGGTAGGGAAAAGATTTTCACTGCCCTACAAAGCAGGTTTAGGACTAGCCTGGGAGGGTCCCTGTAGGAGTGTTCCAAACTAAAGGTGAGTGAGCTGTTTCTTGCAACCTAACTTTTTATCACGTACCATGAGGATATTTACTCTCTGTCATTACAGCAGACATTTTAGAATGATTCGTTGCAATGCTCTAACGCAATCCTAAGTGCCCACCTTTGCGTCAAAACATTAAGAGGGAGAGGCATATGGGAATCAAGAAGTGAAAGTGGAGGTGGTTAATAGTAAAGTCCCTAAGGGGACTGGTACAGGCAGTCAATAAGCCAGATTCTCAATCCTATGCAAATTTGAAGGTTGGTATTTGATTTTTATCTGGGAAGCTGTTGAATTTTCTATTAGTAGATATGTTAAAATGCATACTCATGTCCATGCTGATATTTGGGTATAGATGGTGTTTGTATAAGAGAATATATATGTCTTGTTGAAGGTATATTTGTGAATGTATGTGTGAAAGTGTATGCATCTTCTATTACTGGGAAGACTTCAGGGTCTGGATTGTATATATTCCATCCGCTTGCCTACAGAAGGACGAAAATACCATGCAGACAGACAAGCAGGGAGTCGGAGCCCATATATTCTCAGTGCATTAAAGGAAAGCAGAGAGGTGACAGTCAGCCAGGAGATTTCCTGCTATCACATAAATTCTGTATTGAGAATGTCTGTACTGCCAATCTAATCTATGTCAGATCCTCCTCTTGCTCACTTTTCGGTTGCTAATTTCCTAGAGCAGGCTAAGCACCTCTCTCAATTGCACTCAAAAGTGAGATTGATCCAGGACCATGAAAAATGGATCATCAAACCATGACTCAGCCCTGGGGACTCTAAAGGAAGATGAAGATAAGACAGGGAACAACCATATTTCACTCTAATGACCAGCTCCTCTGTATCTTTGGCACTAGATAGAATCATATGTTGTCAACTGACAGTCCTAGGTTACTAGATACCTAGTATTTTAGGTGCTGCATTAATAGTTTTTGGAAAGGAATATGAGATACCAAAACACCAGAAAGAGGGAGTATCGTTTTACTAGCTAATAATTTATTTTTTCCCAATTAAATCTGTCTACACCATTATTAAAGGGATCTTTAATGTGCTGATTGAGGTATTAATTACATAAAGAACTAATTAGATATAATCAATGTCTCCCAATCATGATGGCCATTTTGAGAAGTGGCCCTCCTGGTGGACACATTTCCACCAATGCTCTGGGCCTGGAGAACTAGTTGTGTTTGACAGGTCTTGGTGGAGCATGAGCCCCAGAAGGCCTTCTGGCTGGTGGTCTGTGGAGCCTGGGCTGCAGTGTCAGGAAGGTGAGATCATAATTCAGGAGGTAGCCATCATTGTAGACATATAGCTTGTGGTCCAGGGGGCAGTAATTGATGCTCTGCAGCGTTTCCAGCATCTTGTCCAGCAGGATGCTGAGGTGGCGCTCCTGCCCGGTGGTGGTATCAAAAGCATAGAAGATCTCCTCTTGGCGAGTGCTCAGTGAGCGCAAGGTGTAGAGCACCCCACAAGCCATAAAGGCCCCTGACAGGGCTGGCTTATACTGGCTGGTGTGCCAGCTTTTTTCCACTTCCAGGGTGCTGGCATTAAGACGACTCACAACCAGGTTTCCCTTGCTCTCCTCAGTAGCATAGAGCACCCACAGCCCCTTCTCATCCCCAGCAAAATCTAAGTCCTTCCAGGGCACACCAGCATAGGAAAAGCGATTATTATAAGTGGCACCAGGCAACGTGCGCCGCAGCACGAGGGTGTTGGAGGAAAGGTCAACCTTGGCCATGTCACTTGTGCCATAGTAGTTAAAGTACATAAAGTTCTTGTACACGGTGTTGCCACTGCCATCGCCATAGCCCATCTTCCTCTCCTCATAGTTCTTCAGCAGCACTAGGTCATCATAGGACTTGTACAGTCGATAGTAATCAAAGTACCTATGTCAAGTCCCCACATCAGAATCATTAGGTGAGAACAATAATATCCAAGGTAAAAAGTGCTACAAAAAAGGGCAGGTTAGCATGCTAATTACAAATAGGAGCTTTGGCGTTAAGCAGTTGATTTTTAATCCATCTTCTTTTTACTATATACTATGAAAAAATAATTATTTTTAAAAAAACAGTAACAAAAATACCACTTGTACAGTGCCTATTAAGCACTGTGTACACATTATCTTAATTATAATAAAACACTGTAAGATAGGTTTTATCCTTACAAGTTAGGAGGCTAGGTATCAAAATTGTTAAGATTTGCTCAAGGGCTCAGCGCCTATAATTCTGTGGCTATGGTGCTAGCCACATACGTCAAACCCAGCCTGAGCCCACCAAACAACAATGACAACTACAACCAAAAAATAGCTGGGCGTTGTGGTGGATGCCTATAGTCCCAGCTACTTGGCAGGCTGAGGAAAGAGAATTGCTTAAGCCCAAGAGTTTGAGGTTGCTGTGAGCTGTGACGCCACAGTACTCTACCCAGGGCAATATAGTGAGACTCTGCCTCAAAAAGAAAAAAAGAAAGAAAGAAATTTGCTCAAGGTCACTCCACTTATAATTAAAATCTTCAGAAGCATAACAAACAAATCTACTTGATTGTCAGAACTGACCAAGATGATGCAAAGAAAATAGTGTGCAGAGTATTTGTCTCAAAATGAGCAATCAACAAATAGCGGCTATTAGTTTTTCTTCTTTATAGATAATCTTCTGTATCTAGGCCCCAGGGCCTTCCATCTGCCCTAGAGATTGCATGTGTCCTGTAGCAGGATATAGTTCTGGAACTGGGTTCAGGCAGATTTGTGATCATGCAGTAACTTTGTAAAGTCCTTTAAATTATCTCCAAGGTATGACCATTCTCATTGCATAACATTGGGCAATAAGTCTTGACGTACCCATAAAAATTTGAGAGGATTCCAAGAACAAAGGTATATAAATGTATTTTATATAATACAAAGTGTTTATAGGAATTAGGGAGCTTTATTATTTCTGAATTGGGATCTTCAATGACTGGCTCAACCTACATCTATCCCTCCTTCCTGTGATTTCCTACTCAACTGGGTTTCTACCACATTTCCATATACACTGACTTTAAATACTGGGCTCATGCATCTATTTGTTAATTCATTTAGCCATTCTTTCATCTAATAAATATATATCATTACTTACTGTGTTGGCTAACTTTTCTGTGTAGTCTTATTTGATCTTGTCATACATTTAATTATCCTCATCTTGCATATGGCTAGAAAGGAGTCTGAGGTGTCAATTTATCTCTTCAAGGTTGCTTTGCTTAAGTGGCAATACTGAGATTCAAATTCAGATTGGCCAACTCTCAGTCTTAAGCTTGGCCAGGGTCATGCTTTAAACTTCTATGCAGGAAATTGGGATTCTAAGACTCAGGTGTAGAAGAATTTGTCCTTGGCAAAAGGTCAGATTAGAAATAGTACTATCTTTGTGTGTGGATGATACATATCCCGTGACAGAAGTGTTAGGAGGCCTAAGCTAGGTTTGCTCAGGGTCACACCTAATGCAGAGAGAGGAAGCCGGGCTAGGGCTATGGGAAAAAAAAAATTAGAGTAAGGGTAGGAGACATTTATAATTAACCTAGTTGCAGAATAGAAGTGTTCAGGACTTACCTGCCATCTTCACGCAGAGGGGCCACCCAGTAAAGAGAAGAGGCTGAATTAGGCGCTGAGTCTCGGCCCCAGGCACCTTTCTTGTATGAAAAGCCTCTCCAATTGAGCTGCACCACAAGTGGTGTGCTAACCTTCTGGAGGCCTCCATGGACACAAGAACCTAGAGGGAAAAGTAGTCAAAATCTGAGGTAGGTGTAAAGCACACAACCTACAGAAAGCAGAATTTGAATGCATAATAACCATGTGTGCTTTTCAGTGTATGTCCATATACCTAAGTGTCTATACAAGTACAAAAGCAAATTGATTTTGCATGAATAGAGGTTAGAATGTATGTCTGATCTGGGGATATTTGCATGTCTGTGCATATAAGTACACCCATGCATGAGCATAGACCAGTCTGCTTCCCTCAGTGATACACAAAACAAGGAAATGAAAGATTTATTTTCCATCAAGATTTTTACTGTCCACCCCTTGGCACACCACAGTTAACCTGACACTTCCAACCTAGTCACTGGAAAGACAAGCTCTTGAGACATTCA